TAAGGTTATTGAAAGCGAGGAAACTGTTCCACCTTTATAAGGAAGACTTCGCTGTGGAGTTTTTAGGAGCCATAGAGTTATAATGAATAACGAACATAGGGTACTTTGTGTAGTGTTTAGCTCAGCTTGGGAAAGAGAAAATAATAGAAGTCTCTTCTTTCTGCCTGTGTGTTCAAACGAAGGAAAGTCAAAGCTGTTATACCAGAGCTATATATCAGCTAACATATTTTAGGAACTGTGGAATGATCATAATTACAAAAAAGTCCTCCAGAGAGAAGTTATGACTCATAGTTTATGTTCTCTTTAGTGTTGCTATGGAAAAAGAGGCTGGTGCCAGTGGTCATACAGTAATATTAATCTCTGATCTGAAAGAGAAATAAATAACAATCCCTAGCTTAACCCAAAGCAGATTTATTCTCAGTTACTGCAGCACGCTCCATTAAAGGGGATAACCATGTAAGAAAAATTAAAGATGACATTGATTATCAGTTCTCAACGTGCAGCTAGAGAGAGTTCCTTATTTGAATTAGTGTGCACTTCAGACTCCCACAAATGACTTGTCTGGGTGAGAAGAAGGGAAAAAAGGCATTTTGATCAAAAGGAGGGCAGGAAAGATCAGCCACCACCAACAGCTGCAAGTATGCTGATTAAAATTTCTGTATGCATGCAGTTAGACTCAGCTGGGGTTGGCTGGTTCAAATGCAGATCCTGAAACAAAGCCCTGGAAACAGGCATTTTCAAGTGGTGGAAAGTGGCTATCAGCCTTTTTCCATTTATTTGGGAAAGCAAGGGCTGTGAGTCAGAGTGGCAGATACTTATGTGCTGAGTCAGCACCCTCTGGGCTGCCCTGGCAGTTCCCTGCCAGTTGTTTAGTTGCCTAGGCAAAACCCAAACCAGGACTGGGGTCAAACAGCTGCCTGCTTGCTCTGCTGGAGCAGTGACTCTTTATTTTCCTGCAGGAAGACTACCTGCCACCTTCCTCTTGATGCCCAGAGTGAGCATGTGTGTCTTAGTGGGTCACAGTAAAACTTTTCTACCTGTGGACTTTGTTTTCAGGTGTTGGAGCTACATTTGCTCCATTGTATGCACTTAGTAACAGCAAAGACCTCACAGTCAGAATTTAGCTTGGAATTTTGCTCACCATGCACCCTGCAAAGCAGGCTACAGCGTTTCTTTCTGCCACACTGCCGCATCTGCCATGCTGATGGCAGTAAAACTTTTTATTCTGTTGATGAGCTAAGCAGATTGGATTGGGGAGATACACAGATTTAATGTCCTGCATCTAAACACAGCTCTTACTGATGGTCACAGGAGTTGTACGTGTGGCCCAAAATCACTGTACAGTTCAGACAGTCCTTTGAGCCAGCTGAAAGCTTTTTACTGACTTTCAGGGTTTGATTGGTCCCTTGGTGAACACTTTGCCCTCTAATAAATTGCTGTTACTTCCCTAATTCTTCTGAGTTTACCTCTTTGTGAGGTGTGCAACTGAAATTCACATAACTGTTTGGCACTACAGCCTGTAACAACAAATGGTTTTGATTCCATCAGTGCAAAGGGCATACAGGTATATTTTATCTTCTGATCCTTTTCTTCTTCTTCCCTTTCTTCTGTCTCTGTAATCATCCAACATGCTTCAGTCAGGCCAGCATGAGGGCTTTCACTGCACTCTCTTATTTGACAGTGAAATGGTCCAGAAAGCTCCTATCTGTGCCTTTTCACAGAGGACCTGGCTCATGGATTAGCACGTCAGGGTCAGCAGGATGCTCTCTGCCCTTTCCCCTAAAAGGGGACAGAAATATCAACTGGCTTTCTGGCATTGCAAATGGAAGTATCAGCAGCCACTGAGTGCTACTAGTTTAAATATTGAAACCATAAGGACTTTATCACA